GAACAGGGATGGCATTATGACTCTTACTGCTTTTTTCTCAAAAGTATCTTATGATAAAAAGTTTCTCTCCTCCAAATCAACTGGAGGTTATACTACAAAGTGAGCCCGATCCAGAGGAACTAAAAACATGTAAGCATGCTGCAGTTCATTCCTGAAAAAACGCAGATTTAAATCCACAGCAGCATTGTGCAACTGAACTTTCTGTGTTGCTGAAAATGTTCTGTATCTACGCTGTCCCGTATGGCAGCCACTAGCCACTGTGACCATTAAGCATTTGAAGTCTGTGCAGTGTGACTAAAAAACCAAAATTTTAAATTTTTATTTAATTTTAATTAATTTAGACATAAATCACCTCAGTGGCTATCATGTTGGACAGAGCTGGTCTATAAACACCAAGGTAGGTTGTATATGAAGGAAAGATTACAAAACAAAATAAAAAACAAAAAAACTCCATTTATGGAAGAAGTGATAAAGTAGCTATAAAAAGCAGAAACAGCTGTGGGGATGGTAGATACTGAGAAAAGCTTCAGCTTATGGTCCCTGTTGTCAGCTGATACACCTCCTGCTCCTGGGTTCTGACAATAAAATTTTTCCCCAAAGCTTCAGAGTTATGTTTCTGTGGGGTGGAGGTGTGTACAGATAATTGGACTAGCAGTATGGACTGCCCGCAAATCATGTGATCCACTTGCTTTACTATCAGTGCTATATAAACTTTCAGAGCATAGTCAAAGGAAAAATGGAAAGAACGGGAAGAAATAGAAAATGAAAATTAACGTGAAAATGTGAAAAATGAATAAAGAGGAAGGGGAAAAAAAAGAGGCCCTTTCAATAGCAACAATAACACCTGCCCGACCATAAGAAGCATGACCAAATTGTTACTGTTTTCATTTCTTGTGCAAATATTCAATGAATACCAATTATATGCCAGGCACTGTGCTAGGCACAAGGCTTATGATAGTTAAAGAAGGAGAGTCCTCAGCTCTCAGGGTATTCAGAGTGCAATGGGGGAAATAGGCACTCATTTAAAAAAAAAATGCTATACAGTGAGAAACGGAACAGGTCAGGTCAACGATGCCTTCTAAAGGAGCATTATTTAAAGGATGACTAAGAGCTCTCCAGGCAAAGGAGGAGGTAATGCAGGGGATGGAGAGGAGCAGGAATCAGAATGGTGATGAAGGAGATGTAAGAGTGAGTGAATATCATAGTTTTGTAACTGGAAACTTCATATTGAATATCAGAAAAAATTTTGACTTTCTACTTTCAGTGAGGAATCACTTAACATTTCTGAGCAAAATACTATAGTAACTTTGCTTCTGGAAAAATTATGTTGGTAGCAATGTGGAGGCCATCCAGAATTGAGGGACTGGGTTCAGATTGGGAGCTTAGTCAGGAGGCTACTGGGAGAATCCACAATGAGAAATAATAAAGGTCTTATTTTGTTTACATCTGCCCAGAATTCATGCCTCTTTCTTTTGGTATCAGAATACTGATTTTTCACAGGGAAATCACCCCTCTGGCACTTGACCCGGTCCATGAAGTACCACGAAAGGATCACCCTATGCCAGGATCCAAGGTTGAGCATATAACTTAGGCCTGATGGAGCAACATATTTCATACCCTGATTACAAGAACAGTAACATTAAAAAAAAAACAAATACAGTAACATAAGTCAGTCCAAAATTTTTCACTTTTGCTATACCTATTGGCATTGCTCTTTTCCTTCTTTTTGGATGGATTGTTAAACTTGAAGTTGCCAAGGGTTATCCTGTAGAGAAAACTGCTGAGAATGAAGCCGACACATCAGAAAAAACAGCACACAGACAGGGACAAATTTTTGTTTAAGCACCTACATTTGGCCATTCCTAAAACAATATAAGCCAATATATTTGGAAATGGAGGGGAAAAAAGCTTCAGGAGAAAAATCAGAAACAGAACTCACTGGACCTAGGGACTACTTGGATATGGCAAATGAAGGAGAGTGAAGTATCAAATTTCACTTAGGTTTCTGGCTTGGTTGACTGAATGGAAAACCCTATTAACTGAGAAAGAGGACAGAGGAGGAACAGGTTTTGGTCAATGAAATGAGCTCAGTCTGGAGATACTAAAAAGTATCTTACTACTTGAATTCTGACTATCTGAATCACTAAACCGGGAAAACTTTGTAAGTAGTTGCATTCCAAGATCAGAAGGAGATGGCATAGTCCAATTCAGCTGAGGGTAACACAACAATGATAGAAGAACCATTCCTATTTCGGTTCAGTAGTTTCACCAGACACCCTCCAAACAATTGGTATTTAGGAAAGTCTAGGAAAAGTGAAGTATCATCCCTAAGCACTAAAGCATTTTTCTAGTGATTACTAGCTAGATGGAAAGCAATAGGGGAATCTATGACATTCCACTCCAAGGATGAAGTTAAAACCTGGGCCAAGTGACTTCCCTGGTGGTCCAGTGGTTAAGAATTCACCTTGCAATGCAGGGGACTTGAGTTCTGTCCCTGGTTGGGGAACTAAGATCCCACATGCCACCGAGCTTGTGCGCTGCAACTGCTGAGCTCAGGTGCCACAACTAGAGAGCTTGTGCATCACAAGGAAAGATCCCACACGCCGCAACTAAGACCAGATGCAGTCAAATAAATAAATATTAAAAAAAAAAAATGCTGGGCCAACACCCCAGTCCCCAGTTTGTTCAATTTGGATAGAGAAACCATAGAAGGAGGAAGCACAAGCAATAATATCAGTAACTGGAAGAGCACACACTCATCTTATTTCAAGAAAACTGGGGAGGGGACGGAAGTAGACATTTTCTGCATTCAGTATATATCAGCACTCTCTGAGGAGCTTTTTGCACATTACCTTACTGAATCCTCACCAGTCAGGAAGGCATCATTCTTCCCATTCAGGCTGGATAAGTCAAGTTAAGCAGTAGAGCTAGAATTCAAATGCAGCTCTACCTGGCTATAAAGCTTATGCACATTTCACTCCATCAACTGCTTTCAGAATATAATTTTATTTTATCTTTCATATACTAAAAAAAAAATGATGCCATCTCATCAAGAAGATGTCTTCTGAATTGGGTGTTTTATTGGCCAAAGAAAGGTCAGGTTTGCAGTGCCTCAATTCTCAGGCACAAATCATGTATTTTATTTACCATTTGACTACCCAGAACTAAAGAGGCCATTGGCGCCACAAAGACCCACTAAATATATTATTCTAAGTTAACTAGTCACCAACAGAGAGTAGGCTATGTTAACATTAAGAGTGATTTCGTGGGGATAATCCCACTGCTGAAATTGTTTTGACTAAAGTTCCTTGGTAAAGAAGCAAGTATGGAAAGAATAATAGAAAAAGATACCTGCAAAGGAGAAGCCTTAGGAACGTTAACGACAGGCAAAGAATGCTATAAAATTTATTACCTTATACATTTCTTTGTCCCAGCATATTAGCACAGTGAGAGGTAGCATAGCATAGATATTAGAAGTAGAGCCTGCCTGAATCCCAGTTCCACCAAGGATTTACTGTATGACCTTGGCAAATTATTTATCCTATGTCTTAGCTTCCTCACCTGTCAAATGGTGATAATATAGTACCTATCTCACCCAGCTTTTATGAGGATTTAATAACACTTGTAAGGCTCTTAAGCAATGCCTGGCATATAGTAAATAAGTATTTGTTAAATACATTAAATAAATAAATAACTCAGCTGGGAGGAAATCTGAATTTCCAACCTAGCCTCTCCCACATGAACTGATAGAGGAAAATAAAAATAATCCTAAAATTTGTTTAGAAAGTATGTAGGACTTTTTACAAGAAGCACTTCACAGACATCTGGAGGAAGAATAAAGAGCCAAATATACATAAGCAGAAACTGAAACATGGAAAAGGGAAGTAGGCTCTTCAGTTTCACTGAACACATCATTCACAGATCTCGCAGTAACCCCAAGTCCTGTCATCCTAGGTTTTGTACAGCAGGCCACAGGCTAACTGCGCACATAGAAGAGGAGTCACTCTTTAAAACAGCCAGGTCTTCACCCATGTACAAAATCTCATTAATTTTCCTCTGTTGACATTTTTTCAAAGGTAAATATTCCAGTCTTTGGATTCTAGCTGCTCCAGAGACTCTAACTACATCTGAATGTTTTTAAAAGTCAAGGACTTCTTTAAGCCACATTCCTGCTCTATCCTGTCCATTCCAGATTCTTAAGAGGTTAAGACCAGAGTTATTAATGAAGCAACACCTACACAGAAGTACAGCTGGAGTCCAAGCCAACATTCAGCTTTTCTAACTTCTAGAAGGTATGAACTCGATAGCAGTTTCATATAAATAAAAGGGAAATCGCTCAGCTGCCATGTGGGTAAGGAGAGACGGGTTTTAATACAGGGAGGTCCTGTCACTGTCTGACAGGGATCCAGCATTGACAAAGGGCACACACGCAATTGCTAGTCTCATTAGCAAGCCCTGACTCCCATTCCACTGCCTTTACAATCGCCCACTTTCATCCACAGGCCCTCCTTCACGCCTTCTTCCTCACACTCATTTTGCCTAAGCTTCTCTCTAGGCCACTCAAAACGCCTAACCTTTGCTCCCAGAAATTCTTACTTCAACCTTAATACTGACCTGAACTGCTGTCACCGCAAGTTTCGGTCGGGGCACCCACCTGTCCCCTACTGCTATCTACAGACTCTGGCCTATGAAATCTCACTGCAGCACCTCTCAATGTCCACCTCCTCCCCAGCAGCAGCCTTGGGTCTGAATTTTACCCACTACTGCACGCCCTCCACCGCCCCCCGCCCTCAACATACCCTATCCTCCCTCCTTCTCTCTCACCAAGCCCGTTCCCTCGTCCGCCCTATCTAACCTCCCCGTCTCTCCTTTCAGAATTTCTTCCCAAACAAGTCGCCCACAACAGTAGTCCTCCTGTCTGTTTCCTCGTGCTCTCTGAGCCTTCCCAAGCCTCTCCCGGCTTCAGCGCATCCGTCCGCGCGCGACCTTTCCCAGCCCACCTGCTCTCCTCCGGCAAGCCCTCCTCGCAGCGGCCAAGCTCCATTCCCGCGCCCTCTGGCCGCATCCGGGGCTGCGACGTCGCCTCTTAAGAGAGGCGTCCCGATCGCTTCGCCCCTCAGGGCTCCCAGAGCTCCTCGGGAATTAAGGAGGCACCACGGCGGGTGGGCTCAGAGTGATGCACTACGGCCGGGTGACGGCAGCAGCATTGATTGCTGCCTCAGCTGCGGTTTCTAGCCCTGCCACCCACTACTTCCGGCTCTGTGAACTACAACTCCCAGCAAGCACTTCGAAGGCCCAGCCGCTACCGGCATGCACCGCCCTATCCAAGCCGAAGCTGCGCTTGCCGCGGACTTCAGACCCTGGCCCCTAGCTTTCCCTAGTGCACCTCAAGGGCAGTAGGGGCCTGAAAAGCAAAGCTGCACTAGTCTCCAGAGTTCCTACTGGAGTGGACTCTTAAACACGCCTGTCACACTTCACCCTTGGGGCCAAACTCGGTCGGAGGCCTAGACTCGAAAATAACGCTGGACTTAATCCAAGAACGGTTAACCCCACTTCAGCCTACCCAGGTTTAACATCTGTTGGTGGTGTTTGGGGTCCTCAACAATTTTAATAAAGAACTCACCAACTCAAGAGCTCAGGTTGCTTTGGTGTCACAAGGAAGAGCAGGAGGGAAAGGCTTTGGGGAAAGATTTCCTGGAGGACTGATGTCAGAGCAGTTTTTAAAGATGAGTATGTACAGAAGAACTGTACAAAGAAGATCTTCACGACCCAGATAATCACGATGGTGTGATCACTCACCTAGAACCAGACATCCTAGAATGGGAAATCAGGTGGGCCTTAGAAAGCATCACTAGGAACAAAGCTAGTGGAGGTGATGGAATTCCAGTTGAGCTATTTCAAATCCTGAAAGATGATGCTGTGAAACTACTGCACTCAATATGCCAGCAAATTTGGAAAAACTCAGCAGTGGCCACAGGACTGGAAAAGGTCAGTTTTCATTCCAATCCCAAAGAAAGGCAATGCCAAAGAATGCTCAAACTACCACACAATTGCACTCATCTCACANGATGGTGATTGCAGCCATGAAATTAAAAGATGCTTACTCCTTAGAAGGAAAGTTATGACCAACCTAGATAGCATATTAAAAAGCAGAGACATTACTTTGCCAACAAAGGTCCGTCTAGTCAAGGATATGGTTTTTCCAGTGGTTATGTATGGATGTGAGAGTTGGGCTGTGAAGAAAGCTGAGTGCAAAGAATTGATGCTTTTGAACTTTGGTGTTGGAGAAGACTCTTGAGAGTCCCTTGGACTGCAAGGAGATCCAACCAGTCCATTCTAAAGGAGATCAGTCCTGGGTGTTCATTGGAAGGACTGATGCTGAAGCTGAAACTCCAATACTTTAGCCACCTCATGCAAAGTGTTGACTCATTGGAAAAGACCCTGATGCTAGGAGGGATTGGGGGCAGGAGGAGAAGGGGACGACAGAGGATGCGATGGCTGGATGGCATCACTGACTTGATGAACTTGAGTTTGAGTAAACTCTGGGAGTTGGTGATGGACAGGGAGGCCTGGTGTGCTGCGATTCGTGGGGTCGCAAAGAGTCAGACACAACTGAGCGACTGAACTGAACTGATGACTTAACCTAGAGAAAGGAAGAGAAGGTGAAGAGAGGAAGCACAGACATGAGGAAGTTGGTTTGGGAACAGCTGATTCTGAGTAGTAATCAGAGCTGGGAAGAGGTGAGGAACAGAATGGTGTGAGTGAGCAGGCAGACAAAATCATGAAGCCATTCTGAGTTTGGATTTTATCCTGAGAACAATGAGCAAATCAAGAAGTGATTTGATCAAACCTACTGAGAAAGTTATTTTTTGACAATGTGAAGAAGTAATGGGTATGTACTATGTTGGTAGGAAGGGCAAAAGAAGGGATATGAGAAGAGGTTGGACGTCCCTATAGAGACCAAGCAGGTAATGCCTGTAAGTGAAGTGAGCCAGTTGTAGGAGAATGGCTGAAACTCTGAACTGGACTGTCCATACCTCCTCCAAGAAGGAAAGTCTCAGCTGTAGTTGAATGTTTGACAATATTCTGAGTTTTTAGTAAAACTGGAATCTGCATTTTAAGTAAAATTTCCAATTTTTAAAATATTGGCCACATTTTTTTTTTTAAGTGTGAAAGTTGTTTGTTAGTTGCAAACTTTCTCTTATTCTTGTGACCCCATGGACTATATAGCCTTCAAGGGCCCTCTCTTCTTGGGATTTCTCAGGCAAGAATACCGGAGTGGGTTGCCATTTTGTTCTGCAGGTGATCTTTCCAACCCAAGGATGAAACCTGGGTCTTCAGCGTTGCAGGTGGAGTCTTTACCTCTATGCCACCAAGGAAGCCAAGGTAAATAATACACAAGCCAAAAAAAAAAAAAAAGCCCATAGGATAAATGTACCCTTTGTGTTACTAGTTTGCAAATCCAGGCCTAAACTTGGGCAGTAGCTGTAGCAAACAAGGAGGCTGGGATTAGAGCCATGGAAAGGCAACAGAATCAGCACTACTCTGCTAGGGAGGGATCTAATTTAACTACATAAAGACTAGTTACTCTATTAAAAATAATACATGACTTTTAGGAATTTTCAAACTTGAGAAAACTTTTGTGAATTAAAAGGGGAAGAGAATTTTAACGCAAAATGTGATTACCAACTTCCATTTATATAAAAAATACTATTTGTTCAAACTTTCTCATATCTTCCTTATAAAGGGTTATACTTTTTAAGAAAGGGGCAGTATTGGTCATTGGGGTTTCAGAACCTTCTATTTCTACAAATGTATGAACTTCATTTCTTGGCATATGGTATAATCCCAAATTAATGCCACATGATTTTAACATATATTTACATGAAAGAGCGTTATCAGGAAATTCTAGAGCTAAAATTGTGGTAAAAGTTATAGAAAATAGGAATTTCCTCATATGTCCAAAACTGGGTTTACATTTTTTTTTTTTTGGTCCACACTGAACAACTCGCAGGAACCAGGGGTTGAACCTGGCACCGTGAAGTGATAGCGGGGAGTCCCAACCACTGGACCACTGGGGAATTCCCTACACTTATGTTCTTTAAAGCAGTCAGTTAAAAAACATGACAACCTTTAGCCATGCGCCCACTCCCCAACCCCATCCTTCTGCTTTCCCTCAACCCAGGTAGCCATATTCTGAATTCCTTGTTTATAATTCCACTGCTTCTCTTTTTAAATAGTTTCTTTGACTTTATCCATAAAATTTTTGTGTTCTAACTTTATAAAAATGATATTAAGCTATATTTATTCTTTGAGGGCTTTTTCTGCTTAACATTACATTGATAAGATTTGTTTAAAATGTGTGTCACTATAGTTCATTGATTCTGACTGCAATATAATAGTTCATTGTGTGAATGCACTGGTTTATTCATGCTTTCTTCCACTGATAGGCATTTGGATTGTTTCCAAGTTTTTGCTATTGTGAACAGTGCTGCTATGAATATTCTTTTATATGTCACCTCTTATACATAAGCAAGGGTTTCTCTTGGGTACATACCTAGAAGTGAAATTGCCAGGTCATAGAGTTATTGTCTGTTTTAGCTTTTGTTTTGAGTGATGGGTTTGTAGGTACACAATTTCAAAAATATCTAATTAGTTATGAAGCCATAACTAACTATAATAAGTTATTTAAAATAATTAGCTAACCAAATGAAAATGGGCCATGCATGGAAAATGATGAGAGTATACCATGAACCAAGGATTATGATTAACAACTTTTTATGCATCACATCTGAGACTCAAATGCAAAAAGTCAAATATGCAAGCATATCTAGCATTAGGGTTTAGTAACTGTCACATAAATATAATGGCCTTATTTCCTGGAGAAGGGAACGGCAACCGACTCCAGTATTCTTGCCTGGAGAGTCCCATGGACAGAGGAGCCTGGCGGGCTACAGTTCATGGGGTCATAAAGACTAGGACATGACTGAGCAACTAACACCTTACTTAGCAACTGCTTGCTGGATTAATATTTTAAAGTTCAAAAAATCTGAAGAACTATATTGATCCTGATTAATCTGTTTTAAAGATTATTAGGATGCAATTTTTATACAAATGGTAGTTGGCCTTAGAGTACCATTTGTTGTTGTTTAGTCACTAAATTGGGTCCAACTTTTTTGCACTACCATAGACTATCTAGCCTGCCAGGCTCCTCTGTCCATGGGATGTCCCAGGCAGAAATACCAGAGTTAGTTGCCATTTCCTTCTCCAGGGGATCTTCCTGACCCAGGGATTGAACACATGTCTCCACTGGCAGAAAGCAAAATTCACTCAAGAATCATTTATTCAAATAACAGGTTTTTAAAGCTTATTACAGTTACCTATTTGCCAAAAAAATTTGGTTTTAAGAAATAGTCTTCTTGAATATATTCAACAAATATCAAAGTAATGAATATTGTGTTTTTATTGTATTCACTAAAATTATTCTTAGCATTTTTTTAAATATTCAAAATTTAAAAGCTAAGGGATGTTGTCTACTTGCCAAGCCTAAAGCAATTGGAGCATCAAAATGAGTTAATTCATGATATGTTTACATATCTACATTCTTTTCAAAGGTAAGCACAACCCTTACACTCTGCACCCCTTTCCTTTTCAAAAGAGAGTTACTGAACATGAGATGAATCTGTGAACTTCTATGGAAACTTATATGTGTATATATAAGCAAGTATGCAAATAGATAAATAAATAGAAAAAGGAAGGAAGAAAGGGAGCAGGGAGGTAAAAGCTCTTTTCACAGTTGAATGTCAACTTATGAATGTAGAGGAATGACTGAGTTAGAACATCACTATTTCGTAGCCACCATCATAATAATTGATTCAGGCAAGAATCATCAATGGATGCTAAAGCTGTTAGTAAAATTTGTTCTGAAATGGACTATTTACACAGTCTCAAACCATCTCCTCAAAGATTACTTATTCATTGTATATAGGGGAAAAAGAGTATCTTCACAATGAAGAAATGTGGCAGATATCACCTTAACCAAGTGACCAGAGATCACCAATAAGATAAAATAACATCATGTGTCTCCTGATGTTAAGTACTGAGAAGGACCCCACATCACTTATGTATTAATAGTATTTCCTACAAAAGTGAATAACCAAAGCTAATCATACAGTGGCAATAAGAAAATGAAACTGAAGGAAAATCTTTGCACTGATTGCCTTCAACCTT